TTATACCTAATGGTCATGGGGGATTTCTAGTATCCTTCATTGAAGAGATAAATTTCATTTTGTTGAAAGTTTATCAATTATTCTTTTTTCAATTTCTTCCAAGTATTCTTGATCATATAACCTCTTCCTTCAATCGTATATTCTTTAATTCTTCTTAAAATATTGGAGTAATATCATTTTAGTTTCCAAAATTTGTCATTTTTTATTTTCTTGTCTCAAGTGTCCTAAGGATTCGTATATTGTCACATTAGTCAAGTATTTCTTCCTTAGAAAAAGAATCCCATATTTGTTAAGTCTAATAACTATTTAAGCTTATGCTTCCTAGGCCAAGACAATTAGAGCACAAAAATGATATTTACATTATTTGTAGTGTGCCTAAATTTTCCAAGTTGTTTTAGTTATTTTAAACCCTAATTTTCGTATATTTTTCAAAAGTAATCTAGTCAAAAATGTGTCTTACACTTGGTTTGAAGAAGTGATGAAGTTTTTTCATAATATTATCCAATGGTACACAAATGCACAATTATCATACTTTTCATACACTTAGATAAGCACACGAAGGATAAGTCTACAAATATACACTTTGTAGACATTAATTCATAGTATCCATTTTCACTTGATTTCAAAAGATATACAAGAATGGTTGTCAATTAAATGATTCCCAAAGAAGTAAAATAAACAAATATTCAAGACCCATATACCAACATCGTAATGTCATTTAGCCTATTTAAACTTATTTAGGAGGAGGTTTTGGAACAAATGATTTGTCTTTACAATTTTTGAGCTTCTCTTGTTTTATAGTCTTAGATATAGATTTTTCATATTGTTCTTTCTAAGACCTTTTTCAAGCCTTGTGCTTCTAGAGTCATTTTAGTTTCATGAGAATAAGATTTTATTTCCTTCAGCAAATCTATTTTTAGGGTCCAAAAATATCTAGGTGTATCTATACTACGATGCTCTAGTTTCTCACACCATAATTAAAACATTATCATTCATTATCAATAACCATTTGATATTTTGATTTACTATACCATCTTTATACCAACTTTCATATCCCTAAGTCGTAAAGTAAATATGATAATCATGCATTCTTCCAACTGTACAAAGCAATTTGATTCAGCCACAACTCTATATCTTCCATCAGAAATAGCTCACTTATTTCATGTAGTATAAATTCATGGTATTCATGTGATCTAATAGTTCAAATACACACAATGCATAAACTTTTTACTTCTAAATTCCGATTATGCAATCTAATTGTAAAACCCAGGAAAAATTTAAACTTTCTCGAAAAAAAATGGCAAAATGATAATTTGTCACTATAATACGGGTTTAAAATGGTAATTTTTGGAAGGAGACTCTTACAGAGCTTCACTGCTGATATTCTCTTCTCCTACTAAAAGTCAAATTGTGTACTTAGACACAATTAACTTCTAAAAATAAGAATTTAATGACTTAACATTTAGAGCTCCATACTTTTTGACAAATAACTCTAATTTTATGTACCTCTTTATAATTTTTCCTTAATTAAATTTTGATTTGTATTATTTGGCTAAAGAATTTAGGTGCAATCCAATTTATCTAATTGATTCAATCCCAATTATAGACATTGAGTAATTTCCTATGCATCACTCAAGGATATTTATATCCCTCTCTTTAATTTTATGTCTCATGATTTAGCTTGCATAAACATCGAGTAATTTACTATTGCATAGATATATTAGCCAATAAATATAAGAAAATTCAAATCCTAAAATTATAGAGTCGTTTGCAATTATTGTTTCCTTTATACTACTATTCAAGTTCTCAATTCTCTAAATACAATTTCGAACCACTGAGTTATTATTATAGTATGATATTTGTACTTGGGTGTACCTTCCGAGTTCAAGCAACTAGTAGTAAAATTAACTTTTGTTCTACTATACATGAAACCCATTTCAACAAACAAGAACTTCGAGGACGAACATGTTCTCCCTCAGGATCGAACTGACTGGCCAAGGACATTACTGAGTAGGTCAAGCAAAAAATTTCAGTGGGTTTAACACACCAAGTGACGGTGTCTGGTGGAGTCCACACCCAATAAGAGATTGTTACAAAACGTAATAAGAAATTGTTACAAGACGCACTAGTAAGTTCTCTTCCAAAAAAAAATTCTAAGAATGTATAACATTTCATTAGTCATGTACATCACCAACCTAAAAAATTTCTCATTGTTCAAATATAATGGCTCTAAATACCCACGAGAGTTCTTTACTTGTTCTAGACGTTCCAAATTCAAGTATTAAGATAAAAGTAATACTATTGAAATCTAAAAAAAATTGATCTGGTTTGTTAACCTTAAAATATGTCAAGTGATGAAACCTTAATGAAGAAGTCCGAGAGTTACAGCCACAACAGTATATTGTACCATGTCACTGTCATATCATTAGATCAACAAATGAGATCAATCTTTTATATCTTAAAAACATTATTCTTTAGTAATGACCCTAAAAAAAGTTTATTCTTAGAAAAAAATTGAAGGAAGAGTTATAGTCTTCTACATATAGGGCTCGTTTGGTTTCTATATTGAAAATTAATGGATTGGATAAAATAATACAATCTAATACAATACAGATAGATAAAAAAATAAGATTAAATATAGTATTAAAATAATACGTAATTTTTTCTTGAGTTTGAAATACATAATATAAGCATTGAATAGTCATTATTTAATCCAATCGATTGTTTGATTAGAAAATTATTTCATCGTATTAATGTTAAATTAACAAAGATACCTTCAATCAGTGTTTGTTATATTGATGATAGTTTTATTTTATCACTTGAGAGGTTACAATAGAAAATTTGTAAAATAATACGTTTGAGTCTGATTATAATACCACCTCTTTTAGTGGTATTAAAATACTTCCGTAATACAGGTATATCGTATAAAAATACACGATAAATATACAATTAATATATATTTTTAAAATTAATATGTTATCAAATTTGTTTATCAAATAAAGTATTAGAATCGATTAAATGAAAAATAGTACAATCTAATATTTAATACCTTCATAATTCATCTACCAAACGAGCCCATATAGTATACGATGTACCTCATCTTTCACATATGCAATTGGATACGTTTTTGTTAAGGCATAGCTTTGAATCCAAATCATATGGGATTCAAACTCCCATCGCAATCCAATTAGATAAATAAATTAGACAAACTCACAGTTATCCAATTTCTCATTTAACTAATGATGGATCATATCCAAACCTGATTCAAATACCAACATTATGTCTCAAGATTCAGGAATCAGTAATGCTACACACCAAATCCTTCTTCAAATTCTTATACCAAATCAATCCAACTCCCGCCCGCCAACTATTCGACGAATAAGATTGTACAAATATTTTGATGCAAAAATATGGTACACAAAACATTACTCTTCTGTTGTTATACAATGGGCACGGTATCACATTAGCTAACCTTAATAGCATCAAAGGAACTATTCATGCCTCATATTCAAAACTACTTCCTACATATTCTTCATTCATGACCAATAGTTCCACAATAAATATAGATATTAGTTGGGGTGTCCATGGGCAAGGCACGCAAAATTTTTCTCGGGCAAGACTTGGGTAGTGTAAGTCCAAGTCCTTATCCAAGTGAATTATTGGGCGGACCGGGCCGGACTTCGGGTAAAAATAGGCTACCCGTAGCTCAACTCATGAGCTTATTGGACCGACCTGTGGGCGGGCTTTTTTATATACAACTTTATTTAAAAATCATGAATATTTTTATAACTTAATATTTGTGTAAATTATATTTTTGAATCAATAATAAAGTCAATATTGATAAAAATAAAATAATGAACTACATCCAATAAAATAAATCCCAACTAAGTTAACACCTACTAATTTATCTATTATTTGTATTATTCTACAATTTAAAACTTATATATTTACTGCATGAAAAAGAAAATAATACATTATTTATAATATCTAAATTTTTAAAACTTCAAATTTTGATATTAAGAGACTTATTTCAAAGTTTCAATTTAATGGTCTAAATATATAAACTTTTTTTAAAGGACAAGTGGACTGGGTTGGAATTGCAGGCGGACTCTTGAGCTAGACTTCGGGCCAGATAATGGATTGGACAATAAACTCAAGCCCTCTTTTTAAGAATATTGGACTCGGACGGGCCAACTATCAGGCCTATTTTTTTCGACCGAATAACAAAACCCGTGAATAACCCAGCCCATAAACACCCCTACCCCTAAATATTAGGGACTCTCTCACATTGAAGACAAATTCTCCTGTCTCTGTTTTTCCAGCCGAAACTTGGTCCCAGCTATAACTTAGAGCTTATATTGGCAACCATGATTTTATTAGTTCCTCCAAAACCATATGCTATATTACAATCAACATCAATGGTACTTATCCCAGAAGGAAAACAACATCAAATGGTAATGAGATTCACAGGAAACCATCCAACCAAAATCGATATATTATGGCCAAGAAAGTCCATTTTCTTTAGGTTTATTCAGCCAACCAACTACTATTAGCTGGTTATTATACAACTATGGACATTCTTTCCAAACTCTCATAAGATCATATTCAAAATTGAAAAAGAATTATCGCACACTGCAATCACTTTCAAATTTTAAGGATGCCTTCAAAACCAAAGAAAAAAACCAGCCATAGATTTTTGATACTCACAGTTTTATTCGTGATTTTCATGTCAATCCAACTCAATTTACGTTCCTCGACACCTATTCTTGTAGAGAGACTATTAGTTTTATTGTTGTACCACCCGATAACATACAAGCATACTGTCACAGATGCAAGACAACTACAAAGCTCTCATGGTTATAAATAGAAAGTGAAGGGCAAAAAATTCCAGAACTTCCATGAGCATTGCTTGTTTCAGCCATTTTTGCACGAGGCATACTAAACCCACTACGTACCACACCACCAAGAGGCTGGCCTAAATGCTGAGTCTCTCTCTCCCATCAACTCGTCGCCACCTGCAAGATAATGCCAAAAACTTGACTCTACTAAAAATGCAAAAAAAAAAAACCGCCCTTTCTATATTATTAGTAAAGTGCAATAGGGTTTCACACCTTCCTCATAAGGAGAAACAACTTCTGGTCAAGATCAAACTTGGCTGCAATGGAAGGCTCCCCCCTTAGCATCATCAAAAGCCCACCATATGAAACATATATGTCCCTGAGTTCAACAAGAATAAACCACACTAACAGAGTTGATGAAAAGACAGTTTAGATAGCCACCTAGAACTGGATAATAAAACTGTACACTTTCATCACTAAGCATTATACACCATTAGATGCACCAAGAAGATTAGCTAAACCAAAAGAAAAGTAGGCCTTCATTACTTTCCAGTCACATAGCCAAGGAAGTTTTGAAGTCCCCAAACCCAAAGAGAGGGAACAAAGTTGAAGTCTGTAATTTACCCAATTACACAAGCATGCATGTGATCAGAAAACTGTATAAAAAGCATGCATACTTACGCTTTAACCCTGGGTCCTTCACCTTCTTCTGATATCTTATATAACTTTCCGTGCATGACGTATTCAAATTTATCAGCAAGTGATGTACGGCCACCCTGAAATTATGTTACCACTTAGAACATAAAAGTTATAATTTGAGGATCATTGAACTCCAAAATCATCACCCAGAAAAATTTCAAGAACACAACATGATTGTTACCTGAGAGATAAAACTAGTTGACACCAATGTTATTAAACCCAGCCAGATCTGGTGGGTTAACCGAAGTGAGTAAAAATGGTGGCCCATTCAACTGGTGCCGACATCGGGCTAGTTTAATAGTTGGATGGTTTGTGTAGGAAAATTGTTCGAAAGCCAACAAGTTTATACCGACCTAAGAAGCACGGATACGGATACGGGAATACGATAAAATTCCAAAATATAGGACACGGGTACGGTAAAGATACGGATAATTAGAATAATATTATATATTTTTATATAAATAACATTAATAATAAGACCTAAAAATCATTGAGCAGTTGGTTAATATCTTACAATTAGGTAATAGGCTAATATTAAATTGAGCAGTGGGCTAATATGTTAGAATTAGGCAGTGGGCTAACACCAAGTTGGGTTGTGGGTTAACACAAAAGTGAGTTGTGCATTAATTTATTTGACAACTAATAGATAAATTATACCAAAAAAAAAAGAAATATATTAATAAGGGTATTAATGTAATTTATATAAATATTATTAAGTATATTAACTACCCACAACTCGCGATCTTTGTTCAATCGAGAGAGAGAAAAAAAAAAGAAAAAAAATAGTTAAGGCACGACAACACACGATCTAGAAAGTAGGAGAGAGGAAGAAGGAAAGGAGGCTAGAAGCAGATCTGAAACAAATCTGGTATGTCCCTTTGCCTCTTCTTCTCTCTTTTGTTGATCTGGTTTTCTTCTCTTCACCTCTTCTTCTCTGTATTAAAGATTTGGTTTTCTTCTCTCTTTTCTGTTTATATTTGAAAAGCTACTCTATTTTTTTTTTTGCAACCCCTTATTCCCCCATATCCCCAACGTATCCGACTTAAAAAAATTATTATTCATTGTTCAGGACACCAGTAGAAGTGTCGAACACATGTTCGATACCACCATGTCAACCTCCAGTGAAGTGTCCGTACTACCTAAATACCAACCGGTTTTTGAAATTGAAATGGGTCGTGGATCTACTATATAAAATGTTACTCTCTGCATTAATGTTTTTAGCCCTAAAATCTCCCATAAGTTTTATTTCTCTCCATCTGTCTATCAAGACATCGCTTAGTGGTAAGCATGTCTCCAGCATCTTCCTTTTGAAATCACCGATGATAGACCATTGGTCTATTTTTCGACAAACCCATTTAAGATCATAAGTTTTGCAACATATCTTTAGCAGACATGACATGGGCAACCAACTACCATTTTCCTTTAGCTTCAACCCTCTTGAACCACAAGAATGTAAATTTCTCCGGTCTCTCCGATTTCCTTAAAACGGGGATGATGCAAGTATTTTCTGCCTTTGCCACTAACAAACTTGCACAACCAAAGGCATAGCCAATTTGACACCAGATGCCACATTCAGATTGAGAAGAATATGTTGTTATTTGATCACGTAATATTGGAAATGATTTAGTTGTAGAGTTTAAACACAATTGATTAATTAATTTTTGATGCCACATTCAGCTTAAGAAGAATGTGTTTTTATTCAATCATGTAATAATGGAAATGATCTAAGAAGCACAGACACTTCGCCGGAGGTCAACGTGGCGATGTCAGACACATGTCCGATACTTCTACAAATATCTTGAACAGTGAACATTGATATTTTGAAGCTTGGATACGTGGGGGATACGGGGCAGGAAAAAAAAAAAAAAAGTCGTTGATTGAACAGAGTAGAGAAAAGACAAAGGAAAGACGAAGAAACATACCAAATCTGTCAACGATCAGCTCCAAGCCTTCTTCCTTCTTTCCTTCTCTTCTTGAGATCTTGAGTTGGTGCCCTAGCTACACTCTTCTTGACTCGGTGCCCTAGCTGCACTCTTTTATCTTTTTCTTTTCTTTTCTCTCTCTCGACTAAACAGAGAAACAACATTCTTTTGTTAAATTTTTTCTCTTTTTTTGATATAATTTATTTGCTAGTTGTCAAATAAATTAACCCACAACACATTTTTGTGTTTGCCCATAACCTAATTTAGTGTCAGCCCACTATCCAATTCTAAAATATTAACCCAGTGCCTCATTTAATATTAACATATTACTCAATTGTAAGATATTAATCAACTACTCAATGATTTTTAGGTCTTATTATTAATGTTATTTATATAAAAAATATATAATATTATTTTAATTAGTCATATCTTTACCATACCCAAGTTTTATATTTTAAAATTTTGTCATACCCCCACATCCGTATCATATCAGATACTAAAACCCGCATCTGTATCGTACCGAATACAACACCTGTGTACATATCCATACTTCCTAGGAAATGATTTAGTTGTAGAGTTTGAACAAAACTGATTAATTAATTTTTGTTGGGGTTGTCATTAAGCATGTTATTTTCTAAGTTCATTAAGTTTTTATGATAATAAATATTATTTGTAATTAAATTTAATTTTTATTATATAACTGATCCAAAGAGTTGACCCAACAGTTTGACCAATTGACCCGTTCCCTTTGTCGAGTCAACGTCCAAGCGGGGTCTAATCACCATGTCAACTCCTCAGCAATTCCTAAAACGTTTGGCGCATGCTAATCTGTATAAAAGCTTGCTTGGTATATGCACACATTGCAGTAGGCATAAAAGGGGAATTTACTACTAAATGTGTGAAGAGAATCACTGAGTTGTCTGATGAGCAGAAAATTATGACCCTTCTACAAAGCTCCATACTATAACTACTCCAAAGTCCAAAGACCCGATTAATGACTAAGTGGTAGTAATCGCCCATCACCTATCAATTTGAAGGGCAATTAGACGCATCGGTTGCAACATCGATTGCACTACACATGAAATGATAGATACAAAGTTTGACAAGACAAGAGTCATAATGTGATATCACGCAACAGTATGAAAAGTATGTTACAACTCAACGAAAGGATGATTGCCGAGTCATTTGTAATGTCTATGAGTTAAATCGCAAGTTAACTCAGACTCCTGGTTTACACACAACATGCACTGTTCGTGGAATAGAAATTGCTAAGTCATATGTGACTAGGTCTATTCTTTGAACACTGCAGGCTGCAGCAATGAACCTTAAAGAAGAAACTAGCAAACCCACCTAAAATTTTTGTAGCAATTACTCACAGCAAAATAACATTAAACATTAAGCACACCAACCTCATGAAGATACCAAAACATTAATCAAAACATCTTCCTTTCTATAGGCAATGTTGCATTAAACATTAGGCACACACACCTAAAGAAGGCAAATAACACATGGCAAATTATCTCCATCCCTTAAAGTAAGTGGTGAACATTATATGATAATATGATTTGACAAGGTCACCCAAATCAACTTTTGATCCTTATGTATCTCTTGGATTCTTGTTTATCTTAATGAGATCTAATTGTAGTTTCACCCTATATATGGGGTGTAGTTTACTTGTTCTAAGTACCAAGAATTAATGAAATATATAGCCTATTAGGTTTTGGTCTATGGATGTAGACACTATGTACAAAACCCTGTAAATCTCTCGAGTTCTTTCTTGATGTTTACTTTTATGTTAAAATTCAATATGGTATCAGAGCGAGCCAATCAAACCTTGCTTAATCCTAGATTTGTTTTCGTATTTCGACGACATTCATTCTATGCTTATGTTTCTAGTGTTTGCACGATAAATCATTTCGTGCATACAACAATTTTCGGGTGATTGCTATCAGCTTCACTCATTTAAGAGGAAGATGTTCACCGCTTTGTTCAAGTCATTCAAGTGATTGTTATCAACTTCACCAATTTCAACAAGGTTGTTATCAGGTTTATCAAAATCATTTTAAGGTCATTCCATCTTCAAGTTCATGTTAGACATTGCACTTCAACATTTTCGGGTCCAACTTGAGGGGGAGTGTTAAAGATAAGATCAGACATATGGGATTCTAATTTATCTTAATCAGATCTGATTGTATTTTCACCCTGTTTATAGGATGTAGTTTGGCTGTTCTAATTACCAACAATTAATGATCTGTATAGCAACTTAGGATTTGGTCCGTGGATGTAGGCATTATGTGCCAAACAATGTAATCCCTTAAAGAGTTATTTCTTGATGTATACTTTTATGTTAAAATTCAATAATGAAGTTGCATTAAACACCAAAAGAAGATACATAACACATCTAGATCAAAATGTATTTATTCCACTTTAAGAAAAGAAAGTTGATATAAACAATATACACAATACATGTAGCTCAGTTGTGACCTCTCCTAATACTGACCCTCATCCATGGTTGTTCAATAAGAAAATAAACCAAGCTTGAGCCCCACTCTTAAAACTCTTAGCGGCTGTTTGGTAAAAGGGTATGGGGCGACTTGTCAAGATAAGTTTAGAAAAAATAGTCCAAAGCTCCCACAAATCTCATGTTTGTATGAAAAATTCAGTCCCGAGTTTTCAAACCTAGCCCATAGCTGGCCCGAATGGGTATGACAGGAGAAATAGTTGTTAATAATTATGATATATCTGCAAGTCATACATGTGTATGTGTTGTATACTAAACATGAGCATGGATCGAATTGAATGTTGAATCTCATCTTTACAAAGAGGGGTTTGAGTTTGGAAAAATCAATCCAAACTACTCCTCAAAATTCATCCAAACAAGCCCTTAAGGTCATAAACAGGCCCAATACAAAAAAGTTGAGTTGGGCACAATTGGCTTAAAAACATAAAATGATTCATTTATAATGAGAGTTCATATGAGGGTCATTGTTCAAAGAATCATTGAAGTCAAACTTGGTAACTTCTGTTCTTAGAACGATACACATTTCACATAAACCCTTGGCAATGTCACGTCGCCCTGACCAAGTCAATTGCATCATTATCATTGAATCACAACATATTGTCCAATACCTTTACACGACAACACAATGTGGCTAAAATATCTCGTCAATGTTCAACTTCTTCTATCATCTATCAGGTTGTGTTATTGCCCAATAACATCCTGCAACACCGCGACGATATGTCAAAGGTGTCATCTGAAGTTAGTCTCGATATTCAGACCTTGAATCATGCAAAACACTCTCAATCTATTCACTTAGCTACATTAGATCAAATACTTGGATTCTGTTTCACTATCCATTTGACATAGCTACAACATCGTTTAAATTGCAAGACAACTTTTGGCTTAAATAGAAACAAAAGTATTGTAGAGAATGTGTTCCACTTAGGCAAAACCAAGATAAGACCTTGTTGCAAGAGAATCATGAGATGGAAAATTTTAGTGGTATATCAGGAGTTCAAAAAAATAATGAGTTCAAAATAATTATGTTCTATGTTCAATCATCATTAATAAACCCCACCCTTATTCAATTGAGTCAGTTGTAGCACAATCGGTAAAGTATTAAAATAGCATTTCCAAGGAGGTTTTAAGAAGGAAGGGTTAGGAGTTCAAAAATCATACCTAGCCAATCCTCCACCCCCCCCCCCCCCCCCCCACCCACCCCCAAACAAAAAAAAAAACTTTTTCAACCGGCAAAGAGAGAGAGAGAGAGAGAGTGCATAAGAACAATTTACCTTGCTTACAACAAGGCATATAGGACGAATTGCAGCACTAATAAGACTACCTGAGTATAATAACCAGAGTCGGGTGTTCCATCCAAATTTAGAGTGGAAGCTAATACCATCATGAACTTCTCCCCAACATGCATACGATATATCTCTGTATTCACATCTAGCTGCATGTACATATCAAACTGCTCACTCCTTGCTTCAATGCGAGAAACTAACAAAACATATTTAAGGGTTGTTAGCTAAAAAACACCAATAGTATACGTCTACACATTTCAATGCGAGAAACTAAAACAACATATTTAAGGATTGTTAGCTAAAAACACCAATAGTATACTTTCTGCACATTTCATGGAATTGTACAGGCTCTGAGATCATGTCAAAAAGTACTTTGTCTAAGCAAGAAGAGCATTTAAGCACGTTATCCATTCTCTTGCAGATGACAATTGCTGATTAACTAAGAAAATTAAAGGGTACTACATGAGATAAAATAAAAGAAAAAGGACACAATGAAAATTGAAGGAAAATCCAGATGAAATGGTTTCAAATTCACTCCTACCAAACGAATCCTCCTCTAGAGTGCACATTTTCATGCATCAACTCATAAGGTGCACCGGTCATGTGTCCCAGTATTTATGTTTTCATAAGGATTTCTAAATAACCAACCACAGTCATCCTTTTTAACGTTTTATCTATTATTCCTTCATAGAGTAGTGTGTTAATTTGAATGGTAGTACTATCCACATTAAATATTTAGGCATACTAGATTGCTCCCAAAATTTCCTAAGTTTACACGTATTCTTCAAGTAACCTTGATTTAATCTCAAGAGAACATTTCCCCAAATCATATGTAGCACCTCTCGTGAGATACTTATCAATTGCCAAAGCCTCAAACTGAAGGCCAAGCCAAGCCATGTTTTGCTTTGAATGACTAATTGGGGCCTATACATTAGCCATGAAAGTCCGAAGTTCAATGCATATCCGTGTACGGCTGGAAATTCATATTCATCATTTAATAGCAAGAAATTCCACATTATTGGGCCATTTAATGGGGAAGAACATACAATATTGGGTTTTTTTTTTTTTGTTTTTGATTGGTTTTGGGGTGTTTTTTTTTTTTTTTTTTTTTTTTTTTTGGGGGGGGGGGGGGAGGAGTGTTATTTAAGACGAAAAGCAAATTGAAACGCTGATGTCTCATGGGACCTAGGTGAGAAGGGCAGCGAAGCGAGAACTTCATCGAAGTGAGGCAAAGAGTATAAAAAAGCAAATATTTTAATTTAGTTACTACTAAATATCAAGTTCTTGCTTCTCAAATACTAAATATTCAAATGCAACCAAAATAAACATTTAAATTGAAACAAGCACAAATAATATCTAAAATCTTTATGGCGGCCAAAAGCATAAACATTACAAACACCAATAACATCTCAAATCTTAACGCCAACAAAAATATAAACATTCAAATTCAAAAAAATAAAAAATATCTCGAATCCCTGCATTTAAAGCAAAAAATCCAAAACCAAATATCATAAGAGGAGCAAAAACCTCAAACAAAAGCAAAGCTCCAACAATAGTGAATCGTTGAACCAGTAGAAGTAGAGCTTTAGCTCTACCACACACAAAGAAGAGGAGAAAAAGTACACACCTACCGGCTGTGAATCATTTTTTTAAAAGAGAGAAAAAAACTGTTCTAGTGAGATTGGATCGTTTTTCTGGAAGAAAAAGAATAGAAAGAGGACAAAAAGAAGAAGGAAGAGGAGAAAAAGAAAAATCCTGGGTGAATCAGATTCTCGGGTTGCTACTGCAACCCTAACGTTGTTCCTCTTCAGCTACCTCTAATTCTTAATCAATTTTATTGAAAAAATTTTAGGGTTAGACATATATACGGATCAAGTGGCAATCAACTATTATGGCATATCTAATTTTTTTATCCAAATTGATCAAATCTAATGACCCATAATAGATTCAAAAAAGGTGGGCTCGCTTCTCACCTAGACGCCTTTACAAACACTTGAGGAGGGGGAACGAACATTGAGGTATAAGCAAATATGTTGAATCCTTTTCGCCCACCCCGTCCACCAAACCCCAATCAGCCCAGCCAAGCTCCCTTTCTTTCCCAGGGCCCAAGATCAAAGTATTGTTTCGAAACATCCAAAATATTTCCGTTTCCAATGAGACCGAAACGAATCAATGATAGAATCGAAATTCTAATATTTCGAAGTATTTCATAATATTTTGAGACGTATTATAATATTTCAATGCATTTGCACAATTATTTCAAAATGTTTCAAGGTATTTCAAGATATTTTGATATATTTAAGCTAATGTTCTAGAAAAATAATTCTCAAATTTTTTATTTTTCTCATTATATTTCCAAAATAGGTCAAAACGTTTCGGAAACACATTGAACCATTTTCGTTTCCTTGGTGACCGAAACAATACGCCAAAACAAAACTTTGATCCTTGCTTAAGGCTATATGGTGTCCGCCACTGATAAAAAATTTCATATTGTCACCACTATTACTTTTAGTATCCTACATTTCCAAAAGCTAGAAACACAAACAAATGAACAAACATATAAAATTCATTGAATAGTTGTGCTAATAACAAGGAAGTCAATGTAAACTTAAGCTGGGTGGAGGAGGGGAGCGGGGTTAAGAGGAGTGAATACTACTTTTGAGAAAGAAGGCACAGCACAACATAGCCATATTTGGTGGCGTGCCTTCCAGGGACTCCAAGTGATGTCAATGATCCATATAGATAAAAGTGTTCAGATATGTTTAATTCTGTTAAAGAAAGAATATTGTCTACAGAACCCAACATCATGATTGGGGGTCATCCTAAAAGTACACCACATCCTAGAGTCATCATGATTCCCCTGGATTACAAAAGCATGATCAGGATATTGCCTACCAGTTCTAGCAAATGAGGCCATACTATAAGAAAATCTTTGCAATGTTGTCACCCTTGGCATAGCATTTCTTCTTAACATATCAACATTTTGCAAATTAGAAAATCCATGATTTGACATTATAAACAATTGTCAAGAAGATGTATAACATAAATCTTATCCACTTCAATTCCAAGCATTTTGCAACAAAGAGATATCATTAATCATTGGCATACAAATAGACTAAATATAACACACATAAGTGAATGGTCTTATGCAGCACAATGAAGATATAATCTGCAAAAAAAAAAAAAATCCCTATTTTCAAAGAGAATACCAAGTTGCATTAATTTCTGAAGAATTTATAAAGGACCAGCTAACATTATTTAATTTACCTTTATCGAATTTTTTGCCATCTGGATCCAGCTTATCCACCACAAAGATATCTTCAAACAGAGTTTCAACCATCCTAACAGCAAAGTCACCACTGAACAGAGAATTCCCACCTCCAGCATGTCATTTTATAGATAAATGCTCAGACAAAAACCCATATGCATATATATATATATATATATATATATATAAAAGACAAAGGATTTTGAATCCCTTAACTCATGTTGAGCTTTTCACATCTCAAATAGTTTTAAGATTACTGGTCCGACGATCCTAATTGATCCCCAAATTTGTTTTCCCCCTCGTAACTTTCCTAATTGATCATGTAATTTTATCCCTTCATTCATGTCTACTCCATTTCGTTTTCCTTAATCTCTTATGTCCATCTCTATCTCACACCAATTTTAAATATTCACACAATTTTTTCCCAACTATTTCCAACACGGCAATAACCTTGTCCTTTATCTCCTCTGCCCCTCTCTATTTTCTCTCCTCACAAAGATCATCTCTTCCCAGCAACGCCATGAATCCACCATCAGAGACACAATGATCCACCACCAACAATCCTGAAACCTCGCCTATGTATCCCTCCCCCTCTTTCTCCTCCTCTGTGTCCCTCCCGCGCACTGCAATTGTGTGTAGCAAAACACACCTCAATCCACCACCGCTAAACAAAACCACCTCCATGGCACTTCGATTCGATGCACTTGAATCAATTCACACATAATCGCACATACCAAGATTCTTTCCTTCCCTCTGATTTTGTCCCACAAGCTTGCACATCCTCAAAACACACTCACACTCTTCTCTCTCTCAATCTTTGCTCTCTTCACCCCAATTGTCCAGCGGTGATGGTTAAGGGTGAGGGGGGGGGGGGGGTTGTTGGTTGTTGTCTCTTGGAAACCTTTGGAGGTGTTTGTTTCATGTTTTTGTTTCGTGTTTCGTGTTTTTGTTTTTATTTTTTGAGTAAAACAAAAGCATGTTTAGTTTATGTTTCTATTTTATATAAAAGAAGTTGTTTCAAAAACAATGCCCAAAAAAAAAGATGTTTCGAAAACAAGGAAAAACAGAAACACGCTCCAAGAGAGTTAATGACATCCGGGTTTCGAGCTTCCTTAATAGTCTTTCTTCGTGGAACTATTTAAACCCACTTCATTTCTCTCTCCTCTCCATCACTGCCACACTCTCTATTGTCATCGATGGGGAGGTAAGCCCCTTCTCTTTCTTTCTTTGTCGCTCTCTCATCTCATCTCCTATCTCTCTATAAATATATATGCACAGATCTGTGCATAAATACACACAAATCTTTGTGTTGTGTTGGTGTTATGTGTGCTACAACTTGGAGGTGTATCAGATTTTCATTGAATTTGGTTCCCAAGTACTAGTGGACATTGTTTTGAGGAAAGCAAGGGTTCTGTCTCTGGATCGCATGTAGTTGTTGGGAAGTGTTGCTGTGAGGAAGAAGAGGTTTTTTGTTGCTTGTAAGGATCGTGTTCATGGGAATAGTGTTGCTGATTTTAGGACATTTTTAAGGATTAAAGCCAAAATATATAAGTTCAGGTTTATTCCTTCATTTGATTCTTGTAATTCTGGATTTATTCAATAAAATTCTTTCTTCAAAAAAAAATTGAATTGCCATTTGGGATTGAAGTAATGTATTGAATTGGGATTGAGATTGAGATTGAATTGTCATTCAGATCACTATTTCAATCAATTATCAATCATTATAATTTTTTAAATAAAAATAAAAGTTATGTATATTATTGACCATATCATTAATTCATCAAATTAATTTAATTTGTTAAGTCTCAATAGCATTGTTGAAAGAAAAAATAGGGGACTTAAGGATATAACTTGATGTGGTTATCAAAAATGTCTTTTATTTTTATTTTCATAATTTGGTAAACACAAATGATTCTCAAACATGTTTTTTGTTTTCAATGTTTACCACAAAACAAAATAAAAATTGTCTCTGTTTTTTATTTTTTTTAAAACACTAAAACAAAAAAGTTATCAAACGATCCCTTTCATTTATTTGATGTTTTATTTTTGTTCCTTGAACATCATTGGCCAAGTTCAGCACCTCAAACCCCCTTCTTCTCCTCTCCCCTCGTGACTGAATCAAACCATCAACCCCAACCACCATATTTTAGACGAAATTTCTCAAAGGGCTATGGATACATTCCCACCCCACAGCCCAGAATCTCAACCACACCACAGCCACACAAGGTTTGAAGTATTCGACTCGGTCGAGTCGTATCCGCCTCAGCCATCACCTCTGAAGCACAGATACTTCGTCAAGGCCAACGTCTCCGTATCGGATACGATACTCGATGATACGTATCGGATACGCATCATCCGTATCCAATAATTAATAAAATATGTGAATACTTCGTGAATACTTCGTGGATACTTCTAAACATGGAGTAAGATATACAATTTTCAATTTTAAGCTATACATCTTCTTTGGAGTTCACATACAATATAAAACATCAACAAAATTCTATTTGATTTTAAAGACGCGAGTATTTTTTTAAGTATTATCTATTTTTAAATGTTAAGTAAAAAAAAAAATGAGTCACTTACACTATACTTTTAAAAATAAATACTTGTAAAACCAACTAGTTAAATGTGGTTATAATTCCGTCAATTGGTCATGCTTATTTTATGAACATATCATAATGAGACGATATTACATCCTTTTCATGGTAAAAATTCATAATTTTACTTACTAATATTAAAAAATTATTGAAAAATTGCAATTTATAAGTTGTTAAATAATAATAAAATATAAAATATATTTTATTATAGACGTATTCTAGTCGTACCCGTATCCTCTTTTTTTAAGTTTTGTCGTATCATCGTATCTGTATCGTATCGTACCCGTGTCACGTACCCATGATTCCTAGGCCATCACCGATTTGATATCGCTACATGGTATGCGAATAACATGCAACTCAAGTGAATCGCGTTGACTTGGTTTATGTGTTGACTCGGCGAATCGGCATTATTTTTTTTTTCATATTTAAGTATTACGTGACAAATTTATAATCAAAAACTATTAGTAATTTGAATATTGTCTACTCGAGGGCCACAAGAAACACATTAAATATTTCAGAGACCAAAATGATGCAATTGAAATATTAAGGATCAAAATGAGACGAACCTTATACTTTATTATATTAGACAAATAAGAGTGTCAGTTTTTAATAAAATTATACTCTATTAATTATATACATATAAAAATAGATTTTACAATTAAAAACATAATACATATGTAATTTATAAGTAAGATAAAATTTCTCAAAAAAATTTATATGTACTGAAACATAAATTAACATAATGTTTTCTATATTTTTCAACTTTTTTGACTATGTATAAATAAGTATTAAAATTATATTAGATCTGAGTTTATCCTTATGATGAAAATAATTTACACGGTTTGTATAATTAACTTAGAGATAATAATTACGATTTGAATCTTATTTATTTAGGACATATGATGCATGGAATATGTTTTTTAGATTTTTTGTAATTTTATTAGAATTTTTTGGGCCTTCTATCAAACATTTTACGCATATTAATCGATATTGTGCCGCAACGCCGCAATCAACGTGTATCAAAGTCCTCCGAATTGATAACCAATACCGCAACCTTGAACCATGTAGCCACATTCAAAATATTCCCACACCCTTACATGAGATTTTTTGTTTGTTTTGACTATATAATGATTTGACAAATTAGAAATGGATCACTCGATGAAATTTATCTCGATCTCTGGCTTTTCCAATGCCCTTTCTTTGTTATTTTGTGAATGCACGGTCCTTCTCAGCCACTCACACCGAATTTATTCTATGTTTGATTTTCCTATGTTGGAATTAAATTGGCTACACGCTTTTTGGCATCATCAGTGTTTGAATCGCTTAGAGGGGTATAACACCTCATCGATTATTGTTGTAGATGAAAAAAACATGTAGCAGAAGAACCAAATGGACCAAAGCTCCTCATTATTGAATTTTTGTCAAAGAACTAAGGTACTTCAAAATTTCTCCGTTTTTTCCTCTCCTTTTAGTTTTCCATATAGATAAACTACATTCTCGATTATCCACATAATGTTGGCGCATATTTGTTTGTGAATTCTTTACCATTCTTAAGAAATTCTTGCATATTTCAATTTGATAATATCATAATATAGCAAAAACCTAACCAACTAGGTGGTAGCGAAATAGCACAAGCATTGAGCATTTTCCTTTGATCCTCGATCAAGTAGTAGCTCCAAGGAGATTCAACTGGTTAGCTGATAATTTAGTGGGAGCTGGAAAGGCAATTACGCGTGCATCGTATCATGATTTTTTTAATTCTTCGCATTTTTGCTATTACACTGGACTTAGAGGAAGAAATATAGAAGGTATGTGTGTTTGGAAATTTGAATATAAGGATTCCATTAGTTTGTTGAACTAATCAAGGGATACGATGTCTCTTAAGGAAGTTGAAACGTACAATAGCTGGGTGACAATAGTTTTTGGGTCAATTTTGCCAGGCTTTCAATGCAAGACAAATTCATTTGATTTTTGTGTTGAAATGCTCCACCTTTGCCAGCTAAAGAGTAATGGGTACATACTAATGGATTGATATGGTGGTCATTGTTCTATTAAGTTTGAAGACAATGCCTGAGCGATGGGTAAAGAAAAATAACAAAAATTATGGTTTTTTTTGGATTTTGCTCCAAGTACTTGAAGACTCGGTGGTGGTTAGGAATGGGAAGTTGATTGAGACATAACTAAAGTTTTTGATCTGATTCAAGTTACTACAAAATTTTATTGAATTCTGATAGTTTCCTTTAATCTTCATTTGTTAATATTGGGATGAATTACTATAATTTCTGCTATACCTATTTGTTGATCTATGTTCATCCAGATTAGTTCTATTTGGTAGATTTTAATGGAATCTGCTTTGATTTCTTTCAATTTACTATTGTTTGCATCAAGATTAGTTCTTTTTAGTAGATTTTAACAGAATCTTCTTTGGTATCTTTTAGTTTACTCTTATAAAGGATAAAAATTCCCTTGATCTCACTGCAATGGATGAGATTTGGCATATGTTTTTTCTTTTCTTTTGCTTGAATATTTTTAAGATTTCTAAGTTACAGTTCTTTGGATAATGTCAAAAGTTCATTTTTGTATTGGACTATCACATAAGGTTGAGGATGGTACAACATCTCGTTGTAGATAAATTTTATTAATATTTGATTGAGTAGCAAACGTAGATAACACTTTTTGCAATGTTATATTATTTTGACTCAGAACCAAATTAAAGATCGGACAAATTCATGCAGTATTCTGATGTCTGCTATGTAGTTGCGTCATTTTTTCTGTATGACTAACTTGGCATGCAGACTAAGATTTGCCAAGCCACAAGCAAATAACATTCAGGTTACAGATTGGCTAACCAAGATTCTCAAAGCTTTTCTGCCAGAAAATCTGACAAGGGAAATATCATGGGATATATACGAAGATGATTCATGGTACAGAAATTTTTGCTTATATTGGTTCGCAGTGGTGAGAGAGAGAGAGAAAGAGCTAACCTTAGATACTCGGTGGTTTTATACCCGTCGCCAAGCCAAGAGAGGAGACCAGTCAGAGAGAGGCGGTGGGGACTGGCGAGGGATGTGCTAGAGGATGGAGAGGAGAGAGAGAGACAGATGTGAAAATTGAAATATTGAAATGAATTTAGGGTTAGAGTTGGGGATCTAAGCATTTACATATTGCCAGGTTATTCGGGTTAAAAATAGGTTATTCGGGTTAAAAATGGGTTACGCGGGTTAGTATCAACCCGATTAATTTACACAGATCAATTTTGGGTTAATCAGGTTGAACTCGAATATGATTTATTAACATTTCGTATTACCAGATCGTGTCATACAAAGATTTGTGTAAAAAATTAGTTTATTCAAACCCATTTATTTGTGTCAAATTATCATCTCGTGTTAAAAATAGTCACTCTGCTTATATTTTAGTCAGTTAAAATAGTTAAAATAGTGGGTGTGGTTAGAATAAATTTATAAAAAAGACATTCTAAAATAAAAAATATAATATTTAAATATATTTTAAATAATTAAAAGGAGAGTGAGTTTGAGGTTACTTTTAGAGTGAGACATTGAGAGACTGTGTGTGTGTGTGAGAGAGAGAGAGAGAGAGAGAGAGAGAGAGAGAGAGAGAGAGACTTACAGTTACAAAAGGAAGGAGAAGGGACAGAGATCGAGTGGCTGACTGAGATGAGGAGATCGATTGCCTGAGTTCAGTCTTGTACTCCTTTACTGTGCTGCTGTGCGTCTGGAGAAGAGAAGACTGAAGAGGAGTGTTTGTTGATTTAGGGCAAAATTGCCCCCAAAACTAAGGTTTTTCAATTTTTTAATATCAATTAAAATTCGAACTGTCCCGTTTTAAAAAATCGTCCGGCTCATTGGTTTTATCTAAAAGAGTTCTGTTTTACAGTTTATGAACGATTTCTTTGCACAGGCGGTATTTTTATTAAACCGAACCGAATTTAGGGATCAGTTAACCACATTCGCAGCAGGCAACAGCCAAACAAAAAGAGATCATCAAGGAAGAAGAAAACGACGCACCCGAAGACTTCGATAGTCCGCAAAAGCCCCGAGCAGTGCAGTGTGTACAGTTTAACGAAGAGAAGGCCGATCACCGGCAGGCCTGCTGAGGCGGTAAAAATAAAGACCTGAGTGGAGTCCGGCCATCTAATACAGATCTAAATACAGATCTAAAATCAATTAATACAGATCTGACATACATCTAGAATACATCTAAAATCACACCGAAATACCGATCTAAAAAAGATTTACCGTGGTCAGCGACTCAAGCTTGGAGATAGAGAGAGAGCTCCGTTCGGTTCAGCGAGCTCCGTGGTCAGCGATCAAGCTTCAGCCGTTCGGTTCAGTTCAGCGTCGATGGAGAGAAGAGCAACACCTAAGCTTGGAGATAGAGAGAGAGAGAGAGAGAGAGAGAGAGAGAGGCTGGAGGCGCAACTCCAAAGTTCAGCCGTTCAGTTCAGCGATGGACATAGATTAGGGTTAGGAAAAATAACCTTATATATTTTCTGTTAGCTGTCATTAAAAAAAACAAAATTGGGCTAATTTTTTTTTAAATAATTATTAATTTATTATTATATTAATTTTATTTAAACGAATAAAAACGGATTGAAATATCTCACACGACCTGTTTATTAAACATGTTAAACGGTCAACCGTTTATCATTTGAATCCGTTAAAGTCTCATTCAAACCCACTAAATTCATGTTTATTCGTGTCGATTAATCATGTCATATTAAATTTTGACAATCTAACTTAATCGGTGTCTATCTTATAATATTATCATATCAAGAGGGTTGTTTTTGTAATTTTGAATTCAGATTGCAGCCTATATAAACACCGGCTGGCGAGCTGATTTCATTATCCAATCCACATTCAAAGGAGACCACTGACTTCTGAGTTTTATTAAGCAAAAGAGGAAATAGATTCATCTCTGCTACTTTCATTAGGTAATAATGTATATAATAAAACAGGTGTGTGTTTGAATTTTATCCCAATTATATTTTACCCCTTAAAATTATCATCAATCACTTACCTCACTTATCATCTCTTTTTCAGACTCAAACGTCAAATCGCATCACTAATTTCTATCACATATTTAATTATTTATATATTTCCTTCCTAAAAATATCACATAACTCATTTCTATCATATATTTAATTATTTAATATTTAATTAATTTGTAATTAATATATTTTAAAAAAATTTAATATAATGGGATCGATTTTTTAAACTCTCGAATTTTATATTTTATTGTGCCTTCAGGCACAGGTTATAACTAATACAATTATATTCTTTCTCTCCCTCTTTTCCTTTCCTTTCTCCGTTGAATTAGTCAATTCTCTGAATTAATGTTTATATTTACCTCATTAATCAAACAAAGCCAAAAAGAATTTTTGAAAAACGACTAATCAAGCAATTAATCAAATAAGTAACAAACACCAAAAAGGAAGGAAGAAATAAGAGCCTGGCAGAATGCATAAGATATAATTTTTGGTAAAACTACTAGGAAGAATGAAAGTATAACCACTTAGTGGGCATGAATGGAGCTTCTAGGACTGTGTTGACTGAAGCTCTCTTTGTCCATCTAATCTTGATTTGCTAGATTAATGTCCCAAATTGACTATATTTTGTTTTCTGTTCATGGCATGTTGTTATTGCTTTGCAATATACGGAAAATAAATTAAAGAATGGAAAACTGACAGTTTGTTGCCCTTTGTGAACAGCCTCTCATTATTTTCCAGATAGATACAGAAAGGAAACTAATCCAAAAGCAGATACTAGACTGCTTGTTTTCTGTATTGAATTATTTTCTTGAAAACTAATTCCTGTAAAATGGTGCATATATTTGGGTTCCTAAAGAGAACATTAAACCAAATCATCTGGTTGTCTTATTTAAACCCACTTGAAGCGAATCTCTAGCCTGGAATCAATCTTTGTGGTGACAAGCGGATCTTGAAAGGCGACAGAAACCACTCTGATGAATCAACTGGCTATACTTCCTCCTGTTTCATTTGTTTTAAAAATGCTCATTGTCTATATTGCAGCACACTATCATAAAGATGATGAAGCCTCAGCTTCGGCATTGAATATATACTGACCTATATGTGCTCTACAAAATGTCTGTCTGGTCTTGTTATGTACTTAGTATCTCTTTCATCTTAATTCTTTTTGTTCTTTCTTATATCTTAATTGTTTTTGTGCTTTGAAGACTATTTTTACTTTTAACTTTCTGCGCAATGACTGATCAAATTCCCTGTGATGGACCACAACTAAATTCTTTCTGTGATACTATAATGCATTTCTCTGATAAATGATATGTACTGGTTTAGGTGCTCTATTTTCTAAAAGTTTGTCAACCGTGGATCACACAACCATTAGAGGCCATAAAGATGCAATAATGTGCTGCTCTAGTTCAAAACATAGAGTACAAACTTCAATGACAATAAATTGTGGGGATGATACTCGTGAGAAAGAGCTTGAAAATGTATGGTGAAACTACATAGCTCTCTCATCTGTTGCATTTCTTTCAGCACACCCTCGAAAAAGTTCGCCATATTTCATAAACTTTCACATCTTTATGTTTAACTCTTGCTTGATTTTTAAAACATAAACTCAGAGCTCCTAGAGATACTAGAAGTTATGAAGGCAGCATTTAGAATTCCCGATACATGATCCACTGTTTCATTATTTTTCTGTTTCTTTTGCGTCTCTTTTTTATTTTGGTGAATATTAGATTTTCAGAAGTTGCACCACTACTTCTTGCCTCACAACAAGGCAAATTGATTTCTGTTAAAATTAATACAAATAGGTTACGTGCACAAATGTATTTTTTTTATTACTTATTCCCATTGTTTCTTTGATGACAACATCACAGTTCATTGGAGAGGAGCCAGCTTTACATTTTTCGTGTGCGTTCAGGTCAAGTAAGTTGTTAAAAAGTGGCTCCTAAACTCTTTATATTTTTAGATCTAATCAAAAAATATATTTTTGTTAGTCTCAGTCTATGCTAAACTTGTGTAACAGAGCTTGTTTTAGTTGTGCTTGCTTCTGTTTCAATCTACCATTTTATCAAAAATCACCTTCTGCCCCACCATAAGAAAGCAATCTAGCTTTCGCAATGGGATTCAGCTCCCTGCTCCTCCTTGCAGCAATCACGAATAAGAGACATTGGATCCCATCAAAAAACAGGAAAAGCGATAATTTAGAGGCACAATCTTATTTCTTCATGACAATATCATAGTTTACTAGAAAATTCCATTCAGTCCAATTGGAAGAAGTTGGACATTCCCAAATCTGAGAGATTCAACTCATAAAAGTCTTACAAGATCAATAGAAGACTTAGGTCTACTATCTTTTAGAGTAGTAGAATTTTTCCTTCCTTTTACCAAGGACTGATGATCTATTTAATGAATACAATAGGTGATCAAGGGACTTGAAGAAGGAATTCTAAGCATGAAAGTTCGAGGGAAGTGACGACTCTACATTCCTGGATCAGTAAGTTCTCCTGATATTTTCCTGATATCCAAGATTCCAATTAAATGAAACATTCGGGTTTTCTGTCCTATTTCCATGAAATTAGTGAATTATAATGTATGGCATTGCCTTTGCTCCTCCACTTGGTCCTACATGGCAAGGCATGGACGATAAAAAATAAAAATAAGAGATAAACATGAAAGGAAGAACAAAAAATATAAACTTCTTCAGTGTTAAGAATCATCGGTGTACCTTCTGCAAACTAAAGAAAAGGATGTCTGAAAATTCAATTACAGGACTAAACATAGTCAAATATCAGATGTTCTGTTCTAATTTTTCTGATTAATCTTATTGCATCTGTAGTTGGATTTTCTAAAGCTTTTCCTTTTTCAAAAGCAGACTCTAATTAAACAAATATATAGAGGAACAGCAGCCTGCCAAATTGAGTTTCTAAATCTGGATTTTAGCCGATCAAGCCTTGCATTAGAGTTTTAGTATCCTTAAAAGCCCCAAGACTTCTCTACATTCTTGTATATTTTGATTTTATCGTTTGTTCCCTTGAAGCTAGGCTTTTGCCATTTGCAAAATTTGTTCCTAATGTATGATGTGATGGAATTTCATGCTAAAACCTTCACTGACACTGAATGGTTCTTTCCAATGGAAGATGCTTAGGTATAGCAATTTGGCCAACTTGAAACCTCCATTGTCTTCATCTCTTTACATGTATTTTCTGGCAACTGAACTGAGTTGCAACACCAAATGGTTAGAATAGAACAAGGCTTTGTTGAGTTGTTGAGTTCTAACTTAACTAGTTTCCGTCTCTTTATGTCATTGATCAGTTGGCATTCCCAAAAGGTCTCACTTCAGCTCCTGGAAGGCCAAGAGTGGCTCCCAATAGTCCAGTCGTTTTCGATGTAAGTTTGGAATACATACCAGGCCTCGAAGTTGATGAAGAATAAGATCTCTGATTTATTGCCTTTTGCCTTCGCTTTATCCTTCTCATTCATCACGGAAGCCGTAAAGGAGGTCCATTACATTAGCACTTGTATTATTCATTTCCATTAATTCATTTTTTGTATTCCAAGTCTAAAGCTAGTTTTCCCTGAACTGTTGTTCGTATAATAAGTTCATGATGAATATCCATGAAAACTTGGGTAAAAGAAAGTGAGGTTCAGAATGTTGAAGAGACAGATAGATACACACACGGAGAGTTTATGACAATCCTATCTCGATTTGTCAACTTTATTCTCTCAATATTATATTTTCAAACTTTTTTTTCAAATTATAAATGTTTCTCAATAATTTGATAGCACCCTTTTTCAGAAACGCAAAAAATACTATTTCAATTTTTTTATCTTCTAGATTGAAAACATCTCATATGTTCAATAAATTTAATGAATTTCATTTTTGATAAGACATTAGAGGTTACCAAACTAAATGGGTACCGAACCGCAAGACTAATAGCAGAACAAGCTCTAGGAATTAGAAAACGAGACCAAGATTGGCCTTTGGCTTTGCTGTTCCTATAGAAAATTTTATGCTCTGGTTGGTAGAAGGAATGGAAAGTACCAAAGATATACTTTTTATTTTCTAGGGAAGGAAAGTAAAAATGATACATTTTTTTTTTTGTTGTGTTTGATAGGATGGATAAAAAAAATTAATAAATTTTTTTTGTGTTTGATATTGATTAAAAAAATATAAGTATATAAAAATAATACATACATAATTTATTATTTTATCCATATAAGAGATAAGCTATGAAGCACGGGATACGGATACGAGATACAGGTACGATACGATACGGATGCAACGATACGGCAAAACATAAAAAAAAATAGGATACGGGTACGACTAGGATACGTCAATAAAATATATACTTTTTAAAGTTTTATATTTATATTTAATGTAATAATTATAATTTATAAAGTGAATCACATATTTACCAAAAATATATAATAATAACTAATCATTCTATTATTCATATATCATACATTTTATATTACATACATATTGCATAATATCAAGTTCATGCTTAAACAAAAGAAACCATCCGATTACAAGTCAAGCAACAAAAAGTTTACAATTTGGAATATTATCCTATTACGAGTCAAGCAACAAAACACAGTCCCTCTTGCTACTAAGACGTTTCCCCAAAATTATCTTCATTTCTATCCCTCCATCTTGGATTAATATAGAACTAGGCAGTATCGAGTATCGACTAAAGTGGTCAGTTTAGCCAGGGCATCTAGAATTGCAGTGCAAAAAAACTTAATTCAAGGCCGCCCAAAAAAACAACCCTAGTTGTTGAATAATATATCTGTATATGTATAGTTTCTCCAAATTGCTCCCAAAAAAAAAAAAACTCTAATTGAAAATCTTAATTCAAGGTCCCAAAAAATTTCCTAAATTGCAAATCCTAATTAAAGGCTTAAAAAAAGTGCTAATCACTGGTAAAAGGCAAAAAAGACGACAGAGTGACAGAAAAATAGAGAGAGGAGAGAGCTTACCCGATATACTTAGACACAGAAACATAGGATATTTTCCGTCGTCAAGAGATGCTATCAAGGTCAAATACAAGTCGTTGGAGGTGAAAGAGAAGATACTCATCATCGATCGGTGTCAAATATAGTCAATCGATCATTAGTGTGAGTGAGAGTGACAATCGCCGACAGTCGACTGAAGGGGGCTGTGGAATAAAAGAAGATAAAGTTTTATAATATATATTATTTTTGCAAATAAGAACCTAAATATATTTACTCTTATACCACTATACTTTTTTAAAATTCGAGTAATATCTCGTCGTATCCTTATGTGTATTCTAGGCATATCCCACTCATATCCAAAACGTATTCAGTCTTATCTTAAAATTAAATTTATTTTTTTAATTTTAAAATACTTCTCAGACATATCTGAGGTATATCCGTATTCAAAAATATTCCATACGAATATTTTGACCCTTTAAAGTATTCCTGTTTCGTACAAGATAAGTGAGATGTAGAATAAACAACACATAACCATAACATAGTAAACAAGAGTAATTTGATAAAGAGGTCTGGGGATGGGGGTTTCTCAGGCCACGCCACTACACTAACCAGACAAACTAAGATAAATCGAAGTCGCAACACCCAGCGCGTAGACTCCAATCACCGTCCCAACCACTTCTTTGCCGGACTTAGTCACCGCTCCGACCCCGGCAATCCCAGCAACCCCAATCGGAACACTCTTCCAAACCGCTTTCCCGGCATTCGAAACGACGGCGTTCGTGAACAACTCCCTCGCAAACTCTTTGAACTCGACCGGTCCAAGTACAACCTCACCTTCTTCCTTTTGAACTTGAGCTGGCGGCATGTTCTTGGACCGGCGAATGGTTATGGCCTTGAAGGTTCTGTCGACTTGGGATCGGGACAGAGGTTGTGGGACCCACTTGGTGATTAGAAGGAAATGGAGAGTGGTGTGAGAGCAGTGGAGACGTTCTGAGGCGGAAACGAGTTGATAGGGTTTAACACCTGGTAAGGCGTGTTGGGTCAGAGTTAGGCAGTCTTCGTAGACTGAGTCGCACACCGAATTGAACTCGGGTGACTTGAAGAGAGTAGTCGAAACGCGTTACGATGCAGATAACCCCATATCTCTCTGTGTATTTCTATTAACTTCCTTCCAATGTTACTTCCTTCCAATGTTTTGTTCTCTTCGTCCGATCGTCTTGGATATGAAGGATGTGGGGTTTCTTTTGTTAGGATTTTGGTGCTGCTTTGTTTCGATTATTTCCAACCCTAAAATATTGAATCAAAATATCATTATACTCTTTAAGACCATAAACTTTAACTATTACCCAAATTTGAGTAAAAAATAAATAAAAAAATTTGATTTGGTGTTATCCCATGGATAAATTTTTTTTTTAGACTTCAATACTTTTTAAAAATTTCTATATTATCTCAAAAATTATTTTCTTTCATTTTCCTTCAAAGTTTTTTTATTCCTTTTTTCTTTTACGTTTTTAGATGTCAGAAATGCCTTTACTCGTCTTTTAGGTCTGTTGATCCCAAAAATTACACTATTGGAATGTAGGATGATTTGATGATTGTCATGATGTACCTGAAAGGAAGTTGAGGATTAAAGAGACTTTGATGTCGACCCTCAAATGATTAAGTTAGTAAGAAGGTAGAAAATTAAATGGTATTTAGGTGGGAGGAATTACTTAATTCATGGCTCATCTAGCCTTTTTATAGGCCGAGCAAATTACACCGTTGTAAATCTCTCAGCTACTTTTCAAATGAAGTGGAAGGAAAAGTGAAACTTCCCTCCAAAAGTATCTCACTTGGTGTAAGCTATTCTCATGGAATATAGGCTAGTTAGCAGTTACTAAAGCCCTCTTATGGGGGGAGCTCCACGTGCCTGCATCATGCCTATTTCATAATCATTAGTTGTCCCCTAGTTCAAACCAGTAGAGACTTGCGGCATATATTCATTACATCTACCCATTAGAGATCTCAGCAGTAGAACTAACTCCTTGAACACGCAATTGTCAAAGAGTCATTGTGGACCTGGTATGTAAGAGCTCTTCTTCCTTGCTCGAACTCATCTTCAAAAGCTTTAAGAAATTTGATACGACTTTGCCTCTTTGTATTTATCCCTTTTTACTCTTTGATTCCGTTACGACTCTTCACTCTAGAGCATATAGGTTGGCGCTCTACCTTCTAATTCCATTTTTACCATTTTTTCTTTTTGAGATAGAAGAATTCCAATCTTGACTTTATAGAGCTTTTCGTGAGTGAATCTACTAGTGTTCAGCTTAAATATGTGTTTGAATTTTGTCTTTCCTTAGTTGCTAATAGACTTAATTGCACCATTCCTCCGAACTTATACATTAACCATTGTAGTTTTTCGATTATGGTCCTTGACTTTGATTAATCCCTTCGTCGATGATTATATGGCCACAAAATTGGCCAAAGTGAGGAGGTTCGAGGATAGTTTGAAATTATCCATCCGAAAAAGGATTGTGAGTTGCCGCCTACAAGATTTGGACTCAATGGTCGACACGGTTATGGCCATCGAGAGAGAAGTGGAAGATGCAAGGAGCATCCAGGAAGCGGGTGCTAAGGATAAGTGGAAGGAGGGTCAATCATTTTCTTCTAGTTCAGGGAAAAATCCGAAGACTACTACCCCCACAAGGGTATCAAGGACAGGGTTGCGGCTATCAAGGCCAAGGCCAAGATCAAGGTCAATCTTTCCAAGGCGGGAGAAATTTCAATGACACCTATCAGGTAAACCAGATGACTTATTTCATATGCCACCAACTAAGCCATATGAAGTGTCATTCCTCCCAACCCTACCATGGCCCAAAAAAGTCAATTTCAGTTTCAGGGTGCTACATAGGCCCATACTACTTCATGAGTGGAGAATCGACAATTAGGTCAGATGGGCCCGGGCATGGGCCGAGGCTCAGGATATGGCTTGCAAGCTGGCACTACGGGGACCTAGGGGTGAGTCTATGCCATCACACCTTAAACTGAGCCGGTGGATCAAGAGGTGATTTATGATATATTTTTATTCTCTCGCTTATGAGCAAGAATATTATTTCACTGGTAAATCGCATTCATTTATAGTTACATCATGTGTAAAGGATTTGAGCCTAGAGGTCCATTGCATGTGAGTTCTCCCCTAGGAGCTAGGGTTTGCAATAATCAGATATGTCAGGGCTATAAACAGGAGATCTCGGACATTCTACTCACTATAGACCTTAAGGTCATGGAGATGTCGAAGTTTGATGTCATTCTCGGGATGAAATGGTTGGCAGTACACTGAGTCGTCATCGATTGTGACAGGAAGAGGGTCACTGCTTATACACTAAATGGTGTTTGTTTCAAGTTTTCGGGGAAAAAAGTACGATACTTTACCCCCAGCTGTATATGATTCTTGTTGGCATGAGCTAGTTAATGGGTTGGTTGCGAGCTTTACACTTAAGGAGAGACGAAGTAGGAGTTGGGTCTACCTCGGGTAATGTGTGAATATGCAGACATTTTTCTAGACGAGTTACCAAGATTACCTCCACATCGGGATGTAAACTTTACCATTGAGTTACAACCCGCTGCATCCCCTATTTCTATGACATCGCATAGAATGGCACATGCTGAGTTGTAAAAACTCAAAGTCCAATTACAAGAATTGTTAAACAAGGGTTTCGTTAGACTGAGTACCTCACCTTGGGGTGCTCATGTATTCTTCGTCAAGAAGAAAGACAAGACTTTAAGACTTTGTATAGACTACCGGTAGTTGAATCGGGTCACCATCAAGAATAGGTACCCAGCACGGGTTTACTCCAATATAGATCTGCATATGGGATACCATCAGTTGAGGATTAGGGAGACAAATTTCCCTAAGACGGCATTTAGGACACGGTATGGGCATTTCGAGTTCACAGTTATACCTTTTGGATTGACGAATACCCCGATGTCGTCGATGGCATTTGCTACAACTTCAAATATAGAAACCCAAGCGCAGGTTATACGAAGTAATATAAACTCGGAAGACTAAGGTCAAACCCTCAGGGAATTGTGAAAATACTAGAAACCACACTAAATTCTGTAAAAAAAAAACTTGTGAAAATGTTTTGTTTTAAAAGAGTATTTGAATTGGTAAAACTAATTAAAATGATTAAAACAATATGAAAAATACTAGAGCATCAGGTATTCCCTCTCAAATTCATACAATAATGATTAAAGACTTAATTTTCAAACCTAAATAAGAATCAAATGTTGATTGGCTCAAGTCACCAAATTTAGCAATAAGAACAAAAAAACACCTTTATTTATAACTAAAAGCTTATCTAGGAAAATCAATGAACTAATTGCTGATCATAAGTATTTACTGTGCCCGGAGTCTGCAATAAATCAAACTCTCCTAACAATCAAATTCATGACTTACCCGAGTAATCTTTCAATTATATTATTATGTGAAATAATTTTACTCAACTTAAGCGTTAAACAACCAGTTATTTGACTTGCAGGGAAATTCAAGCAATCAAAATACAAGACATAATGACTCAAGAACTTTTAAAGAACAAAAATTTTACTACAAATCCAAAGTTGAATTAGCAAAATATCACATATCATTAAGCTCATAAGTCAATAACATTACCGTACTTAATTGAGAGGCTCTTCTCTAGCCCTATCTATACCTCTTAGTTAGACATGATGAAATTAAACCAAAAGAATAACAATAAAATAAAATAAAACACATACAGCCAAAAGTTCTCTTTACATAGTTATCATCTCCTATTTATAAGATTATTTGGGAAAAGATCTAATTGAATTAAAATTCTGCTATTGGCGTTGGCAAGCTGGCGATACGCGTCCGGACTCGTGCTTTCTTCCGTCTAGACACGCTTGGCAGACTGTTCCATGTCTTCAAACTCTTCAGCATATACATTCTATTCCTCACGTCCGAACGCAAGACATTCCACCGTCTGGACGCGCCTTCTAGTAAGCTCCTCTTCAGCTACTCTTCTCCTTTTACTTTATTTCCTCCAATTTTCTAAAAAATAAGCACAATTCATCTTTTATCAACATATCATCAATTCCTTGTTAAATTATCACATTTACCAACTTTTTCAAGTAAATAGCTAGCATTTTCCATCAAATAATGTAATTATAAGATCATAATCACATCCCCTCAAATAAATAGCTAGCATGTTCAATTTTGTGGTTACCTATAACACACGAAATGGTGGGGCAACCTGGGTCTTTATATTTTAGTAGAGTCCTATGTTGTATGATAGAAGATACCTACTCAGTCAAAAATGTCTTCTTTTGCACATTTAATTTCCTTTTAACATTACACAAATCTTTCAAAAACTTTGTTTAAGAAGGTATTTGTTTAATGAAATCCAACAAGGGGATATTGATCTTCACCTACTTAAAAATTTCTAAAATATCATTGTACATGTTTGGCTTGATAGATGTAAGTAATCTCTGTGGGAATGGTGCAGATGTCGAATACCTCTCAGACTTAATGATTTCAGAATGGTCAAGTTTATCACCACTCTCCGTAGGTTTAGAAATTTTATCAGATTCTTGAATTTTAGTAAGAATAGTTTTGCTAATTACTTTCCCATTTTGAAGTGTGGCGATAGACTTAACTGGCTCAAGAATAGTGTCAGATGTGTCAGACTCATTCACATTAAATTGATCCTATGGATTTGGTTGGGGTTGAGCTGAGAACTTACCTTTTTCTTGATGGCATGGGGAAGTGGTCAATTTAGTGAGTGTACTTCTGATATCATTTATAGTATGTGTATTCTAATTGTTGAAGCTTGGCTGACTTTGCATAAATTGTGACAATACCTCCTCAAAATTTATCTTTGGGTAGAGTGTAGGGTACACAATTAGAGGAATTCTGTTGAGGTATTTGTGATGCCTGATTTTCACCTCCCCAACTAAAATTTGAATGATTTTTTCACCTAGTGTTGTATGTATTAGAGTATAGGTTGTTATAAGGCTTTGAAAAAGTATTTACAACATTTGCTTGATCATGCAGAACTTCTTTTAAAACAAGAATTGTAAGACACTCCTTTATGGGATGTC